GAATGGCGTCATGTACAAATTTCCTCTTCTCACACAGAAAGTTCAGGAATACTGTAGAATGGGAATCTCCCTTCTGAACGGAAGAAGATTTTGAACTAAGCTATTAGCTAATAAAGAGTTCTCAGCCCAAAAATGCCACTTCTGTCCTAGTTTTATGCTGCGGCGTCTTCCCTTCTGCTATGAGTCCAATTTTGCAGCAAGTTTCTTCGCTTCTCTGGCTAAATTTTACAGTAACCCGTGTGAATTTCCCATTTTTCGCTCTGTTTGTATTTTTGTTCATTACCCAGATGCTTTCTTAATGAAGAACAAGAAATTTTCTCGTGTAACAAATTTCTTCGTCTTCTTACTCCTCGGTCCCATTACCGCAGAGCACCACTGAAAAATCCAGAGCCTCACAAATGAAATGTTTAAGATCGTACAAAATTACACGTACAGGAAAAATAGCCACTACTCCATAATTTCTCTTACACTTTGCGAAGATACTCTCTCACTACAGAATGTACACTGCATTGCGTTCTTGCGGTTCATCCTCAGCATGACTTTCTCAGATTTCGAGCGTTGGCGTGAAGCATCATTTGGCAATCAGGAATGTGCAGGCTGCAGATAATGGCCGATTTACAATCCAGGCAATGAATGCAGCGGGCACAAAGCAGTCAACTTGCATGCTCATGGTCGCCCCAGCGCCAACGCCTATCCCTGGTGCCAAGAGTGTTGCGTAAGCTTGCTTGTTTGCTACTGTTAATAGTAACAGTAGAAATCTGGAAGGATAGATAGTTGTCTTGGAATATAACATGGACAAATTTTCTATGCACCGTGACAGGACTTCTTGCTGAGAAAAGTCGGTAAAATAGCCAAAATCGCGGAACCGCCACATGGTTTACTACGATGAAACGCCCATTTTTTTAAAACGCTTGCGGTGCCCGCACAATTCATTTTTCGATACCGCTCGAGGAGGTGCATACTGTTAAAAGGATTAAACCAGGCATTACTTCACAACAATAAGTGATGGGAAGCAAACTGGCCGCGAAATTGAGCTACCAATTTATAGTACTGTTTTCCAGCTAAAATTGGAGATAGAAGTAAAAATCTAATGATATTATTTTACATGAAAAGAAAAATCACATTGCTTATAAGAAATTAGAGTAAGAAAAGCTGCAGCTGAGTGGATCTCAAAAGTAGACGTATAGGAAGAGGTTGGTCTGGAACAACAAATTAAAAGCAAAAAAGCAGTAGAGAGTAAATTTACAATTTAAACTTTCTCGATTACGACATATATGAGCAAGGAACTTCTCTTTCTTGCTTACGTATGTCGTAACTTTAAAAAAATCAACGTAAGTTTCGCCATCAAGTACCTTTCTTTGTAAATTGTTCTGGAGTGAGTTTGGCTGGAGTTCGCTGTGCACTTTATATCCTTGAAGAATTCCTGGCGCAAAAGGACGGAGTACACCAAGGAATGTGTTTTAACATCCGACCAAATCGGCTATTGCACAAGTCACTCTTTTGTCAATATCAAAAATATCAAGATCGTTCGAGCAATCAGTGTGGGTAGTCCACATTAGTAACATTAGTTCGTGCCACCCATGTTTGACCTATAAGAAGCAACACATTGTCTTCTCGACATCCCTGAACCTACCAGAATTTCCGTCTCGTCGTACCTCGGACACTACCCAGCCCATTACTGCTTTGAGACCGCAATGAAATGCCTGGGTCGGAAAAGCTAACGGGAGCCTGTGCCAATACTCGAGGAAATAACCGACATTTCACTACTGCACTTCTACTAAATTTCAGAGTTTGTAACATCGTCTATTTTGCAGAAGCTCGCCCGCTCCACCGCAGACGCCAGTAGGCCCATCTGCGCCTTTGTTCCTCAAGGAGCTGAGAAATTCGCCGTTAAAGCCCGGTTCGCAGATAATTCTGGAAGCACGTGTTGTTGGCAATCCAGCACCACAAGTGGAATGGCTCAGAAACAAATCAACACTTAAAAATTATCGGTCAGTTAATTAGTTTTAATTTTCTTGATCACACTAAAACAGGACAATTGTTTGTTCTGAAGCAGGTGTTTCTCTTCCAGAATTTTGTGTTTTTGATTTAGCTTGCTCCCGAAAAAAAAATCG